AATGTTTCATAATACCAGAATTTAGAGGCCATGGGATCAACTTGATAATGTATTTTACCTCTAGTGAGACAACTTTGGGTGAAAAATTCTTAACTGAATTAAATACCAAGGCACAGCTTGGTTACATCTGAAGATCAGGAATGCTTTCCCAGATTCGTGTCTCTGATACCATCTTCTTTTTTTTTTTTTTTTAAGATTTTATTTATTTATTTGACAGAGATCACAAGGAGGCAGAGAGGCAGGCAGAGAGAGAAGGAGTGGGGAAGCAGGCTCCCTGCTGAGCAGAGAGCCCCCTGCAGGGCTCGATCCCAGGACCCTGGGATCATGACCTGAGCCAAAGGCAGAGGCTTTAACCCACTGTGCCACCCAGGCGCCCCACTGAGACCATTTTCTACTCCTAATTCAAGGGGAATTACTAAAACTTGTTAGGTTTGATCGATTCTGGTTGCAGTTTCTTTGACAAATCTATGAACAGAAGTGGTGAAAGATGTCAGTTATAGAGGTAGAAGCTGTTAAAAAATATACTGGATTCATTCCAACATCTTCTCCAGTGGTACTACCTGTCCACCTTACCAGCTTCCTTTTCTCTACAGTGGGAGTCCAATGTTGCTGGCATCAGTAGAGAGTTCATAAGTCACTAGTGTTCAGGATCTTTCACCTGGCCATAGAATCTTTGGTGAGTAATGATGCTATAAGCATGAGTAAAAATAGTTTCATCAATTAAAGTTTACAGGCCTTAGGTCTCTCTTACCTTTGTTCAATCCCAGAATCATGTCATTTAGAATAATGAGAACTTTTGCTTCTTGAAAATTAAATAACAATAACTTCTATAGTTGTGTTATTTTGATGTGGTTTCATTTTACGGTAAAGACACTTATCCTTAGTTCTATCCTAAACTGCATCTGATAATGAAAGCAAATGGAAATATGCATTGTTATTAGTGAAAAGGCATGAAATAATGTTACTAGTGGAAATATTTTTAAGGCTTGTGTCTGAAGAACATTATAAGTCTGAGAGTCTTGTAATAATAGGAAAGTCCTGTAAAACAGAACAGCCAATGAAAGTACAGCTTTGAGGATGGGGGACCCCAATTTTCAGAGTAACCTGGATATTTTCATAGAATGTGAAAGAAGTATGGTCATGTAGTGGTCAGGAGCTTAATCCCTGGAGTCCAGCTAGCTGGGTTTGCTGCCCCCATGTTAGGTGCTATTGAACTCAGGCTGTTCTTTATCAGCTCATGTCCAGTTGTGTCAAATAAGGCTACAATCTGGGGTGAGGATTAAATGTGATAATACACGTAAAGAGCATGGTATATGGACTGACATCCGGTAACTGTTCAGGATACGTTGGCTTCCTTTACGAGCAGGTTTCTGAATTTTGGGTCATGAGCCCCACAGGGGGTTCTGAGGGAGTAAAACAGGCAAGAGTGGGTGTGCAGGGTGGAGTGAGTGCCTGTACCAGAAGCCGAAACTAGTTCATGGGCACACTGATTGGCCCTATTTGCTCATCATTGCACCTGGGCACCTCAGTCTCCTCTCTCTGTCATTAAATTCTGAGCCCATTCATCCCGCTTGCCCCCACACTCAGACATCTATCTCACAGTCTGGGTCACTACACAATTTGATTTAAAATCAATGAAGCGATAAAGGCAAAAGAAGGGACCATCAATCTTTCCGGCATCCTTCACTCAGTTCCACCGATATCCAGCTACTACTATGGTCGGGTAATGTGATTCAGGACGGGGAGGTTGACAGATGATAAAAAAAAAAAAAAAAAAAAGGAAGTCCTCTGGAAGTCAGCAAGTTAGCACTACCTTTGGGATATTTTGGTTGCTCTTGTGAAACATTTCCCCTGACACTTACATGTTCTGTCCAAAAAGTCTATGGATGAGCAACATAGTTTGGAGGAACCGGACCTAACAAGAAATTCAGTGCCCCGGAGGCCCGGGGAAAGGGACATCCGCAGCTTTGTGCCCCATCCCAGAGGAAATAGGGCAAGATGGTGGGGAGAAGACTGGAGGGTGTCAGAAGGTGGAGGAGGGTCAGGAAAGTATCCTCCAGATGGAGAAGGCACTCTGGGATGGAAAACCAGTGCAGGCCACTCTGTACAATTTAAAGAGTTTTATTCAGGGTAACTTGCTGAAAGGGGAATCCAGTGGACAGATGACCCAGGTGCTAAGCAGCTATTCTCCACAAAGACGGGACCTTAATCCACAGCTTTTATAGAGCGAAGGGCATAGTGGTGAGGCCACAGGGTAGTTCGCTAATGTGGCACCCTCTCTGGGCCAGAGGGACAATCAGAAAAGCCTTCCCACATTCCGGACGGAGCATACATTACTCTGCAGTGGGCCTGGAGTGCTTAGCCCTGAGAGAGGTCATTGTCTGGGCACTAATAAGACGGAGGACTAAAGATGGAGTCAGTGTTGTCAGTACCCCGACAGAGGGCAACGTACAGGACAAGGTGTTTTTACTCTACAGGCCGAGTCTGTGTTGCCCTCTGTCTCCTCGGCAATGGGACCAAAAAGAATTTCTTATAACCCAAAACCTCACGAAATTCCTAAAAACAAAAAGAAAACCTCAAATCATTCGACTAATACTTATGTGAATGCTCTCTCTCTCACAGACTAGAACATGGAGGCATTTGGGTATCATTTGGATCACCATCTTTTACACAGATACCTTCTTTGTCACAAACGTTCTAATGCTTATAACTACCAAATTACATTGTATTAGTATCTGCTGCTATCGAGCAAATTATAGCAAATTTATATCAACCACATCCACATACCAGGGCTCACACGGTCTCTTCCTGGTCAGCGACATCCAGTCTGACATATTCCAATCAAGGCTCTTCCCATTCAGGATCTTGAGGCCATATTAAAAATTCTCCTCTTTATTATTTTCCACCCTGATGAGGTTTTAAAGAGGTTTTATAGATACGGTTGCTTGATAGACTGCTGTTCATTAGTGTTATATTTCTTAAGCTTAGAAGTCCTTTTGCTGTTACTTCATAAAAACTCTCAAGAAATGTAACAGTTGTTTTTCTCTATTTGCTGTTCTTGGTTTTCATTGATATTTATTTTTACCTGTGCTATCTTGTTGCTTTATATTTTTTTATATATATATATATATATATATATAATATATATATATTTATATTTTAAGGTGTAGGAGAATGAACAAATCCATATAATCAAATTTTTAAAAAATCTCTCAAAATTCCACAATCGTTAATGAGAATGTAATTCTTATTTAATTTTTATCACCTTTTTTTTCTTTTTAATGGGCTATTGGCTTCCTTTCATGTATTGTTTCTTGCCTGAGAATTCCTAGTCAACACTCCTCTGGTTTGAAAAGTAAGTGTTGCTTTCTTGGATTTTTGAGGCAGAGCCTGAGGAAGAATGTATTTGTTTTTTGCTTGGACCACCATAATACTATACATTCTCTATTTTGCTTCCCGTTCTGGCAACCTAAACTAGAAGAAATGTTTTCACGTATTTCTTCTTTCACTCACCAAATCAGTCATTGGGGTAGGACAAAACACGTCAGTCTGTGGCTCTTTAGAAGACTTAGAAGTAAATTTTACTGCATTTGGTTTCATTAATTCACAGGAAAGGCAAATCATACTTCTTGTATTCAGAAAAAGAATGGAATTTAAAAGAAAAGCTCAGGTGAAATTTAAAATAACTAATTTGTGCCTTTATAACTATGTGTAACCTATAATCACCACTGAATACAGTTTTTAAGTTTGTATTCTGGCCATACTAGAGATGATGCTGTATCTCTGTTACGATATCAGGAGGCAGCGATGTTTAACCCTACATGCCCTGAGAGTATATTTATACTTCACATACCCCAGAAACTTCCACACAGAAATATGGAGGGTACCAAGTAAGACTTATTGAGTACACCAGAGGCAGATTTAATGAATAAATAAGTATTCTGATTTTGGAATACAGATTTAATATTTTTAGGCATCTGAATACATATTTTTAATATATAGGCACAAAGGCATTCTTTTTCATGTAGCCTTGTGTGAATTTTGTCAGATTTGGCTTTCGGGGACTGTAACTAGGCACAGTGATGGCCAAGACACTTTTGAAGAGGTACTGGAAATAAACAATCACACATTGCCTTCGGCATACTCATGACTTTTTCCCAGAGTAAGAATTTCAGGAAAATCATCTAAAAAAAATATTGAGTTCACACACTGAGACCCTTTGGCTATAAAAATTAGTTGTCTTGCAGTCTATGATTTAATGTTTTTTGGTTTTTAACAAGGAAGCTATATGTCATCAGAACAGAGAGTATTGGGTAGTGGAAAGCATCCTAGCCCTGAAATGAAAGCTTAGCTTTGAATTCCGGTTCCACCCCGGGATGGAGGTTCTCACCTACTCTCTTCTATCAGCTCTAAAATGGGGTAATAATAGCTTCCTTTCCTGCTTCCCGGGGCTGTAATTCATGTCAAAACCACTCATGACAGTGCTTAGGTAAACTCTAACGCAACTGTACAACTCTCAGGTGTTGATGGGAGTAACCCCTTGAAATATACATTGTCCTGGGACCATGATCATACACAAAAGCCACAGCATCAAAACTCACCATGCAGCAACACCATGAGCACCCCAAAGAAGGCTCAAAAATTAATGATATGAGAACACTAAATACTTAAGCAAGAAATCATGTTTTCCCCCTTGCTTAACAGTGCAGGAAAGTGAATAATAACATGTCCAACATTCCAGGGAATCTTTTTGTCTGCTTGTGCTGTCTCCTATGACCCTAAGTAAGGGGAGGCAGGGGCGAGCGGCAGGTCAGAGAAGGCAGATATGCTGTCAGAAACATCATTCGGATTATAAATGAAAGTATTAAGGAACTTCCTTGGAGAGAGCTGAGTTGTAAGAAACTGAAAATGGGAAATATTTGCCCTAGAGATAAATTCTTCACACAATATTTAGTTTGCCTCCTCAGAGACTATTCCTTTCAATTTTGGAACAATACTGCTCACTGAGACTGTGAATTTACATAACTTTTCCTCAGCCAATTGTGGACTCCATTCTAAATAAAAAGCAAAAGGAGCAAACACATTTGTAAAAAGAGAAAAATACTGCCTGGCTTGAGGTAATTTCGAGGCTCCTATATTCTAGGCATTAAGTACATTTAATGTCTAATGTACCTATTATTTTTTTTTAACATGTATGCTAAACCTACTTAAACATACCAACTCGCTGAAAGAGCATCAATTCATGTTTCGGGAAGGCTAGCAGGACACTTCTGGGAATTTCTCTAGACTTGACGAAGAAAACAAATGTCGATTTCAGGAATACCTGTAGTTTTTTTTTTTTAATTTTTAATTTTTTATTAACCTATAATGTATTATTAGCCCCAAGGGTATAGGTCTGTGAAATGCCAGGTTTACACACTTCACAGCACTCACCATAGCACATACTTTACCCAGTGTCCATAACCTAATCACCCTCTCCCTACCCACTCTCCCCCCCCACGCAACCCTCACTTTGTTTTGTGAGATTAAGAGTCTCTTATGGTTTGTCTCCCTCCTGATCCCATCTTGTTTCATTTTTTTCCTTTCCTACCCCCCAGACCCCTCACTTTGCCTCTCAACTTCCTCATATCAGGGAGATCATATGATCATTGTCTTTCTCTGATTGACTTATTTCACTCAGTATAATACCCTCTAATTCCATCCACGTTGTCGCAAATGGCAAGATTTCATTTCTTTTGATGGCTGCATAGGGAATACGTGTAGTTTTAAAAGACAAAATGAATAGACAATATTAGCAGAACTAACCAATCCCATCCAGGAAAACCAGAACAGTTTTAATTATATATACGCTCATACATACATACACATGCACGAAGAAAAGCTGAAAACATCACTACCTAGTGTAAGGGAACAGAGTCCTCAAGAAATTGATTTTACCTTTCATACAAGCAGAAAACCTGGGGTAGGCAAAATTATATTCTATAGCCAGAAGCAACACACCTTAGTCATAGAGGAGATGTCACACGTCAGCGGGACAATGCAGCAGAACGTGCTCTTCCCAACTTCAGGTTGTGAAAACTTAAAGAGGTAGAAAAATCTCTCTCTGGTCTTTATCATCGTTCTGACTTGCAGTATTTCCTAAATCAGGATAATAAATGGAACCCAAATTCATTTTATTAGGTTTCAAGCCAGGACATGTCAGTGACTAAAAAGAATTGTAAAGGACTAGAAAGAAAGTTAGCACAACTAAGACTGGTTTCAGTGAGTAGAAAGCTTCTTTTCATCTCATCCCTGTATTTTCACAGATTGCAGTATGACAATAACTGCTATTGGTTTGTTGTCTGACCAGAAGCTCTTCCTTTGATTAGGGAGAAAGTCCATTAATTGTTGTTTGTAAATTCTGCTGCTAATGTTTCAAACACTTACAGACCTGGTAGATACGTGTTCAAAAGTCACCTCCAAGTGTATTTTTAAAAAATAACATGCTGGTTCTAATGAATAAGTGCGGTACCATCAGAAATGAAACAAGCAAGCTCCCCATAGACTGTTTAAGGCTGGAATCAATAACTCATCCAAAAAAGCATGCATTTGTAGAAATGTACTTGCTAATAGGTTGACCTGTCCATTTCCAGTAACTGTACTGCTTATTTTCCTTTCTTGTCAACTGACTATACTTTCTTTAAAAAAAGGAAATGTATAAAGATATATGAATTTTTTATCTGGAAGAAAATTTGAAGAAGCAAAGGGTTTCAGAGGAGATCTTCTCCAAGGTGATTGCTGCCATCATTGAGTCTGGTGGGTTTGAGATGAAGGTGTCAACTCTGTATATTTAAATATACAGAAAGGAGTTTTCAGTAATAGGCAGTAACAGGCAGATGGACCAAAAAAAGATAAAAAAAAATTGTGACTTGGCTTCTTCAAAAGTGTGTGTTTACCAAAGGAAAGAGTTAATTCTTAAATTCACAAGTTATAACCAACATAATAACTTCTCTCTTGGGGAGTAATCTTTCCTGGAAATAAGTGCTGTGACTAGTCAGCTGGGATTGTCTGTTGAGAGTTAATAATGTGCTTGTTTTGGTCATGGTTTCATGGTATCCTGTTATATTATATTACAGAATCAGGTCTATGCTCACATAATACCAACCATTCAGTATGTTGCTCTACCCAACTAATTGATTGAGCAATTCTTTTTTCTTATGGGTATTTACCATACCTTAGAATTAGCCTTACTTTGATGAATTATAATTGAAAATAAATTTTTGCCCAAATGTGACTTGTCATTAAGGCTTTCTCTCACCACCCTATTGAAAACGGTAGCCTCCCACCCTGAAGCCTGGATTCCCCCTTAATTGGTCCTTCTTTTTCTTTATTTTCTATAGCACATTTACCTTCTAAAATGTTATGTAATTTACTTTTATTTATTTTTTATTATTTATCTCTTGCTCAAATGTATGGATATAACGAGTACTATATTTGTGAGTTGAATAAGACAGAAGATAGCTAAAAGAAACTTCACTGGACTAAAACAAAACAAAACAACACACACACACACATACACACACAACCACCCAAAACCCAAAAAACAACAACATGATTTTGTCTAATACCTCATGTAGAAGTGTTGGTTGGGACTGGAGCCTTAGCACCTGGACTTGCTGGGTTGGTGCTTGCAACAATGAAAGGGGTTGTGAAATGGAGTCAATGGGAGGTCTGGAGAAAGTGGTGGGACCCCAATGCTCTTGCCAGCAGCAGGGAAGAGCTTGGTTTCTGTGCTCCTGGGATCCACTACTCCTCTCACTGCAGTCATGGAGCTTAGTAAAGGGGAAAAAAGAGAGAGAGAAGGATGTGCCCAGATCACTGAACTACAACATTTAAGGTAAGTTTGCTTTGGTTATATGTGGACTGAATATGAAAGATTTTTAAGTTTGAAGGTTTTTCTACATATTACAATATAGTAATTCCCACATACCGAAAAACATCATAGACTGTTGAGTTACCTTTTCAGATAGAATATATTCCATATATCTTAGGGTGAAGAGTATTGGGACATATTAATATTACTGGATCTTAAGAAACGGTAATAGTAAATGAAGGGCATTAAATATTTTATTTCTTCCATCACACTGTGGCAGTGTTTAAGAATTTGAAGGGCCAGATTCTGTCTCTAGTAATCCGTACAAAATCTAATAACAACTACAAAGTATGTCTTTCAATAGTGAGGGTTATTACTAAGTTTTCTCTACAATTTCTAAAATTTAATGTGCTGCTAAAACTTGAATTAACATTACCCTCTGAATATATGTTGTCTCACATATAATACATGCATTAAAATTGCCTATCATGATGTCCATGAGGGAAAACCAAAATTCATGTCAAACATAGGTAAATTTTTATTTTGTAGAACCACATAATTAATTTCATTTTAATTTACATAAACTCCTATTGAAAAAAATCCCATGGAATAAAATATACTATATTAATTTGAATTCAACAGGATTTTCTTCTTAACTGAGTATATTCAGATGCACATGGGGAGAACATGGGTGAAGCTCGCTGGCACACACTAGTTGTAAGGACACAGGTTTACTGAAGAAGGGTTGGCAACCCAAATCTTGCTGAATATACCCACACTGGTCTAGGGAGAGCTTGGAAAATAACTGGTTTAATGATAGGCCTCATACATGCATACTTTTGTCTTAATACTCAAGAGCTATAAAGGATTGAAGATGTGCTGAACTCATTTGGGGTGAGATAATGCAACATGCCCATGGCTACATTAGAACATTGTTTTCTGTAGCCTATAGTTGGTTTTGGACCACCAGGTGTGACCAAAAAAAAGAAAGAAAAGAAAAAGAAAGAAAAAAAAAAGACCTCATATTTTTAACTTTAAAACTTGGAATAAAAATGCCCTTAGGAAAATGAGCCTATTTTACTGCCTATACCCTGAGTAAAGAAGTGTGGGTGAAGAGAAAAGTGTATAGAAAAGAGAGCAAGATTATATGTATCGCGAGAATCTAGAATTTTAAGCAGTTTCAAAAGTTTTATTTAAGAACTTGACTTCAAATACAGCCTATTCCACTCTACAATAAGATGGAGTGATGTTTCAAATGCAAAAGGTAGATCGCTCCTGACATATTTGGGCCAGGTGTGAAATTAGAGTATTTACACTCCCAGCGACTCTTCACAATGGTTAAAAAGTCATCCAGCCTTCGGATGTAATAAGGACTTCCTGTTCATTTAATTTGCCTGGTAGAGCTTAAGTAAGCAGTTTACAATTCTGTTTTCCAGACTGTAATGAAGATTTATTCATTCTACCTCCTCCTCATTTGCTCACTTAAGAGCAAAAATAAAAAAAGTATCTGGCTCTGGCAGGGGGAGAATCACCCATGTGACAGGGGGAGCCACAAATACCTTTTCCCAGCTGACAGCTCGACAGTAGTCATTACAGTTTCCCAGGGATGGGAAGATTCGGCAAGAGAGAAATATCCCCAGTTCTCTAATTAAAAGAACAGACAATTCAAAAAAGAAATGCAGTGTATTAATTGTATGAAAGGAAAAGTCATTCAAGTGTGGGGAAAAACAACAAGAACCTCACATTTCCTATTTTTCTGGAACTGAATATATTGTAGGGGCACCAAGCTGCCCCACAGGGTCATTTCAGGTCAAGATGTTATTTTATAGGACTTATATTTGGTCACTATATCAAAGATGAAGGCTAATTCTGTGTTTGTGACAAATGGGAGACTTCAGTGTTTCCAAGGGTTCACACCCATCTGTGTACTCCTAGGGGATTTCTATAGGCAGAGATTTAGTTCAAAACTCATCTATCCTCTCTAGACTTTTCATTAGTGGTGAACAAATTGCTAGAGTTCTGGATGTCCTCTTGAACCCATGATTTAAAGAAAATGCTGCTTATGATTTTGTGGCAAGCTGTCACCAGTGTCCGCCAATAGAGCACCCCAGGTAAAGAGTCACTGAGGGTCACGGCCGGCAACTGTAACTTGGGTAGGAACTAGATTCTTGGCTCAAAGAGCTTAATATCTAATTCCACAATCAGAGTCCTAAATCTTTTCTAGATGTATTTAGGCACAAAATCACTGTACTTATAGTAGACTGTCATGTGCTTTCTGCAAAGTAATAACTTATTCTCCCTCAGTTTTTTTTTTTTTTTTCTTTTTTGAGCATAAAACCATGGCCTGATTTTGGGGGCTGGCTGGTGCTGGGTCCTGGGAGGAAGACCAACCATAAATGGTTGTCTCTGTACACCCTTCAATCACCCTCATGCCACAGTTACTGTTTACATTTGTTTTAGTGTATGTAGGTTTGTAAGCATTATTGCCTGAGGATATATATAACCGGAGTTTGGTAAGCTTTTATTTATTCAGAAGTCATATGGCAGGTTAATGACTTATGATGGTGTCCTGCTCTGGGTAGTGGTATAGGATCATGATTTTTTTTTTTTAAGATTTTATTTATTTATTTGACAGAGAGAGAAAGAGATCACAAGTAGGCAGAGAGGCAGACAGAGAGAGGCGGAAGCAGGCTCACTGCTGAGCAGAGCGCCCAATGTGGGGCTCGATCCCAGGACTCTGAAACCATGACCTGAGCCAAAGGCAGAGGCTTAACCCACTGAGCCACCCAGGTGCCCAGGATCATGGTATGTTTAAAAAATACTTCCCCTCAGAGTGCCTGGGTGCCTCAGTTGGTTAAGTATCCGACTCTTGATTTCAGCTCAGGTCAGGGTGGTGGGATCGAGCTCAGTGCGTAGTCTACTTGTCCCTTTCCCTCTGCTCCTCCCCACCCTGAAATAAACTCTTAAAAAAAATACTTCCCCTCAAGACAATCTTTTAATGTGGAAATAATCAATTGCATAGACAAAAAGGAGGAAATGGGAAACATAAAATCATTGTTGAATTTTTTGAAAAAGAATTAACTTGAAGAAGGTTACTTATATTCAACAAGATCAAACCCTGTTCCCCATCCCCACCCCAGGAAAGATCACATTCTTTTTTCTTGTTCATAGGAAGAAATATGTCTGTGGGGACCAAAGGGATTTTTTGGCTAATCAGGAACAAACACCAGGTCAATCATTTCCTCAGCTGTAGTTTAGGGAGACATAAATAAATAGTTTTATTCACATGGAAGAAATAAAAACTTGTATTTTTCATAAAAATTGAGGATAAGCCTCATTTTTGTTTATCATGTAGGCTATTGGTGTGGAGAGGGAGGACAGCAGAACAATGGAGGAGATTTCTGTTCACCTCGGCAAGTCCTGGTCCCATGACAGTCTACCCATGAGTTGGACAAAAGTGTCAGAACATTTATCAAAATAATTCTGAAAAGCTTATGAGAAAATGTTTTACAAAGTAATTTTGAGACTTTTTGTAATGTGTTAATGTGTAGCGATTGCTTAGCACAGTTCCTGGTTATTAGAAATGACTACAAAACACTGATATTTATTCTCAGTATTACCCACTATTCCAGATGAAACAGATGTCAGTTCCATCTTATTATAAACCTCAACTCAGTAGAATGATCTCCTGGGACCAAAAATGCCTGTGGGAAGGAACTGCATGTTTATTGAAAACCAAGTTCAAAAGAGGAGGCAGGATCCTATACTGGAAAGTAGGAAAGGCATTAATATTTAAGGGCCCCTCCCATGAGTCAGTTACTGTGCTCATCTCACATTCTTTTCCCATTTGCTAGAAAACTGAAAAGGAATAATTCTATCAAAGTGTTTCCTAAAAGTATATCTGTGCAGCAATATAATATGTAGCTAGAATCCAACACTGTGGAAGCAGAATGCCTCAGTCTGAAGTCTAACATCCACTTCCTCGATGGGTTTCTTTGGGCTAGTTACCCCCTGTAGGCCTCAGTTTGCTCACACAAGTATTGATGAGGATAACCATACCATAGGTAGCTTCTATCATAGGTAGCTTCAAATAATATGGTATTATTTGGGATACTGAATGTAAACACCTAGAGAAGTGGCTAAAACATAAAAAGTGCTCAATAATGTTAGCAATTGTTATTCAGTAATAATAATTCACTTTGATATTTTAAGTGCCAGGTGTCAAAGTACTTCCATCTGTTTTATCTTATTTGATTTTCTCTTTCTCCCTCCTGTATACATACACATGCTAGCACACACACACTAATGCGTGTTCACCCACATATCTCAATGGCTTACATGGTTACGATTATCGTTCTCCACTCTGTGGGGCCTAGTTGTATAAGGCTTACTGGGGAAGTGTGTAGACCAGTGTCCATATTTTGATTACTAGTCCCATCCTCTCACTACTAAACATTCGGCCTTAGGAATAACTTGACTGACAATTTGGATAATAGACAGCTAATTTAGATAGGACTGGCCAATTTGTTTAATTAAATAAGGGGCTTGATTTAAGGCTTCATTTATGGAAAACTGGGTTCAGTGTTACTTAAATATGGAAATCTATCCCTTTCTGAGAGATGAAAATGTAATGAAGGAAAATGCTTTGGTGGGTTTATGAAGTGCTTATGACTATGTGATGTCAAACAGCCTGTCAAACCACTGAAGCCTGCAGATTTCTAGAATGTGAGATAAAACTGAATAATTGGTGGGTTTCCTTTTGTAATTTTCTTATGTAATTTTATGTTAAACTATTCAAATTCTGTATAATGCACACATGCTTCAAATGGAGGCTGTTTTTAATTTGTTATACTCAGCCTAATGATGATAAGGTAATTCTACAATTATATCATCAAAGCAGTGTTCTACAAAATGTCAAAGACTATTCATTCACCCATCTAAGTGAATACTGATTGAGTCATCACCACATAGTAAGTATTCTCTAGGTGTCGAGGATAAGTAGGGAATAAGACATCCTTCCTGCCCTTGTGAAGCTTCCATTTTAGTTAGGGAGGCAGGAAAAAAAGGAAATAGTGTTAAGTGCCAAGAAGAAAAAGAAAGTAGAATAAAGGGGTAAGAATGATGGTTAGTGGCAGGAGGGAAAGGAGGGTGATCAGTGAATGGGTCAACTAGGCACAACCACTTTGAGGAGACAATATTGGAGCAGACATTTATGAGCAGTTAAAGAACTGGATAAAGAATACTTCAAGCAATAGAAACATGTGAAAATCTCCCGTGGCTGAGATATGGATGGAAACCAGGACAGCGGGAGTGGATTGAGCAGAAGTTAGAGTGATGAGAGGCGAGGTTGGACAGCTGGCAGGGGTTAGAGTTCCTGTCCATGGTTAGGAGTTCAGATTTTATTCAACTTACAACAGGTAAAAACTCAAGTTTGAAAAAGACTCTAGTTTCTAACTAGTAAATAGACTGTAAGGGAAGTGACTGGGGAAAAGGGAGATCAGGTTTTAGGTGGTTGATGAATCCAGGTGAGAAATGTTGGTGGTGTATTAGGGTTTTCCAGAGATGCAGAACCACCAGTGTATGCATTTACATAAATATATATACATATACTTATATCTATATATATCTACCATATTCATACACACATACATATTTGTATACCATATATATATACATATATAAACAGAGAAGGGAAGAGAGAGAGAAGCCAGGAGGGAAGATAGAGGGCAAGGAAGATTTATTTAAGGAATTGGCTTACTTGAACGTAGTGGCCGGAAGTCCAAAATCCATAAGTCAAGTCAGCAAGCTGGAAATTCAGATAAGAGTTGATGGTACAGTCTTGAGTCCAAACTCTGCAGGGCAGGCTGTGCCAGCTGGCCTTTCAGTCAGGGTCTTCCCATTACATTTTGAGGCAGAACTGCTGTTTTTCTGGGAATCTTCAGTCTTTGCTCTTAAGGTCTTCACCTGACTCAATGAAGCTCATGCATATTATAGGGGGTAATTTGCTTTATTCAAAGCTAACTGATTTATATGTTAACCACTTCTAAGCAATGCCTTCGCAGCAACATCTACACTTCTGTTTGCCCAAACAACTGGGCACTGTAACTTAACCAGGTTGACACATGGCATTAACCATCACAGGTGGCTAGAACTGGAGTGACACCCATGGAACTGTTGGAATATCATTAGTTTCTACATATGTTCTGATGGTAGAGTCAACAGGACATCTCTTCTACCCCAAAGTAGCCAGATGATTACACTCCTGCTCAGCAGTAGGGGTTTTGGGGAGCACTTAATGGAAAAATAGAAACAGAGAACCTCAACTCCAGGACACCAGGCACAGGGTGAAGCTAGGACAATGGACTGAAAATCAGGTATTAAGTGAAAGAAAGCATGTTGAATAGAGCCCCTCAGCACCCTCCCTTTAATGATCTCCCCCAAAAGTGAGAGGTAGGCAGCAATCTTTACATCCTAAAGAGTTAATAATTTTCTATAAACAGACAACTGTTCCACTTAGTTGGGCCTCAGCGATGTGAGTGACAGTGAAATCCACCATTCATTCCACCAAATTTCCTGTGAACACAGAGCCCTAGTGAGTTCTTCTGATACTCATTCTTGAGGCCAGTCCAACTCCAGCACAAAAGATAGGCCCCAAACAAATAGGAAGTGACTTCTGTTTTTAACCATGTTACAGAAACCAGTTTCAACCTAATCCTCCATTATAAAGAGTTACAAAGAGTGAAATATTATAATTAATGTTTCAAACACTGGAAAATATGCAATGTAGGATTGTGATTCCCTAAAAGAAAGCAAAAAAAAAAAAAGTGATCATCTCCATAATTGCACTGACTTTTAGCTGGAGGTGTTTTCTGGACTATCTCACACACACACACACACACGCGCGCGCGCGCACCTGTGCAAGCGCATACACATATACACACACATATAGAGCAGAGAGCTCAAATCAAGCACTATGGTCTTGCTGAGTTGAGAAGTGTTCAGAGAGTTCAAGATAACCAGAAATGTCATAGACTGTCTCTCTTTTTCTGTATAGATGGTGAGTCCCTCCCCATGAGTAGATTTGTCAATGTCCCCAAATTATTCTCTACTCTTCTCTCTCTCTCACTAAAACTTCACAATTTTCTCATGCAGTACCTAATGAATAAATAAAATTATCTGTTTTTTTCCAATTCATAATAAATATCATTAGGAGTATAATCAACAAAAAAATTAAACTGAAAATGCCAAAACCAAAATCAATAGAAAACAGAGGAAGCAAATAATCTAGACTTTTAAATTGTCAAATGTGACCTAGAAGATTTAGACTGTGTAGGAGAAAATGGTTACACACACAAAAATGTATAACAGCAAAGACAATAATACTTTAAAATTTGATACAGACAAAAAATAATATTATATATATGGGCTATATGCCACGGAATATTATGCAGCAATGAAAAAGGATGAGATTCTGCCATTTGAAACAACATGGATGGGCCTAGAGGCTATTATTCTAAGTGAAATAAATCATCCAGAGAAATACAAATGCCATATTATTTTACTTATGTGTAGAATCTAAAAAATAAAACAAATGAATAAACATTGCCAGAGGGGACTAGAGGGGCGGCCAAAATGGGTGACGTGGAGAGGAGATATAGGCTTCTAGTTATGAAATGAATAAGTCACAGGAATAAAAGTTAGATCATAGGGAATATAGTCAATGATACTGTAACAGCATTGTATGGTGACAGCAACACTTTGTGGTAAGTTTAGCTTAGATATATAGAATTGTCAAATTACTATATTGTACACCTGAAGCTAAGGTGAAAACATGTTTCAACTCCCCTCAGATAAAAAATAAAAATTAAGGGGCACCTGGGTGGCTCAGTGGGTTAAGCCTCTGCCTTCAGCTCGGGTCATGATCCCGGGGTCCTGGGATCGAGCCCCGTATGGGGCTCTCTGCTCAGCGGGCAACCTGCTTCCCTTCCTCTCTCTGCCTGCCTCTCTGCCTGCTTGTGATCTCTCTCTGTCAAATAAATAAATAAAAATCTTAAAAAAAAAACAACGTACAAACCAAGCAAAACATTTAAAAAAATAAATAAATAAAAATAAAAATTAAAAAATAAATAAACAATAATTTTAACAAGATAATAAGAAGGAAAATAGCCTGAGAATTTGCGTCAATTAATACATTAAGTTGGTACACTGGAGCTTATTTCCAGAAAATGACTTCTGGATGAAAGTTTATCAACAGTAATATAATTATCATTAAAGTTTTATATTAAGGGTGCCTGTGTGGCTCAGTTGATTAAGCAACTGCCTTCAGCTCAGGTCATGATCCCAGGGTCCTGGAATTGAGTCCCTCATTGGGCTCCCTGCTCAGCGGGGAACCTTCTTCTCCCCCTTCCTCTGCCCTACCCCTGCTTGTACTTTCCCTCTTGCTATCTCTCTTTCAAATAAATAAATAAATAAAATCTTTTAAAAAAGTATTGTATTAAAGATGGTTTGAGAGTCCAAAGAGTAGAGATAGAATATCTCTCTGCACAAAAGACAATGCCTAGTGCAAAGAAGAATCTTTTTTTTTTTAAAGATTTTATTTATTTATTTGACAGATAAGAGATCACAAGCAGGCAGAGAGGCAGGCGGCGGCAGGGTGGGGGGTGGGGAGCAGGCTCCCTGATGAGCGGAGAGCCTGATGCAGGGCTCGATCCCAGGACCCTGAGATCATGACCTGAGCCGAAGGCAGAGGCTTTAACCCACTGAGCCACCCAGGCGCCCTGCAAAGAATTTTAATACACATTTTTCAAGCTTTCTTCATCCTGGAATTAAAAAACAAACAAATGAACAACAACAACAACAACCAAAAAACCTTTCAATTCATGCTGGATATTATTGGCTGGAAAATCAACAAATGAACACTTACAAAGATTTCAAAATGTAGAGAACTATGAAGAAAAAAAATATGGTCAGTTTCTGTAGAATAACTGAGTAGTTTTTGTGGGGCTGGGTAGAGAAGATAATAAAAAAAAAATGCCTCAAGGACAATAGGGCATCAACTCTGGGAAAAGGCATTCCTGCTACAGGGTTTGGTATGAAAACGAAATGACACCTGTGGGAGAGAAAGTGCAGGGTGTATCCTGGGAATGTCTCGCTGAACACAATGAAAGGTTAAGTCTTGAGCAGTTGTGGTAAATAAAGGTAAAACCACAATGAAGATATGTTAGATATAAAGAATACAAAATTTAAAATTCAATCAATAGATAATATTGAGTCACCAGAAGAGCTGTATTTTGGGGAGACTTTTTGGTCTACAGTTCAGAAGGCATTAAGGAGGGAAGAGATTAAAAGGAGGAAGACAATCTGATAACAATGGCTTTAAGAAAGAAGTAATGAACTAGAGGAGTGGCAGAGGAAATGAGATGGAAGAAATAATTTAGGTGTGGTTGGGATGAAGAAGGTGCCAGAGTGAAAGAGATATGAGATTAGTCCCAGGCTGTGTCTGTTGGGGGTACCGGTGCCATTTACAGCAACAACAGTGGGACAAGAAGCAGGTTTGGGAAGCAAATTTATGAATTTATTTATTCTGACATATACAACTCGAGGCATTCCTGAGAATGCAAGAGTTAAAACTCCAGCAGAGAAATGGAAGATAGGTCTGTAGCTTAAGAACCCAAAGGAAGGGGCTGATAACAAGCAAGGAAATAAATGTGGATGAACTTTACTAAAGGGGAGAGAAACCCGAGGGTAGAATTCAGATCTCTGGGGACCATCTACCTAAGACAATCTCCCTAAATTTTTGTTTAGAAGTAGATGTAGGTAAGTTTAATAATATGTTTAGAAATTGGGAACAGGAATTCATTGGGGGAGCCTAAAACAGACTGCCAGATAAGGAGGATGTGATGCTGGGGTGGACAGAGTGAATTTTCCAGAAAGCCAACAAGTAATGTAGTGAGAGTGGATAAAGGGATGACCCACCTGTGTAGTTTCTCATAGTACCATTTTGTAAATGTCACTTAGGTATTGTTGATGGACTACAACATAGAAAAAAGTGTTTGCCAGGACTTTGGGTAGACTGCTACATATATAGTGGGAAGGAATACTTTGGTAAATCATTTGAGTGGGGAAGAAAATTGAGTCCTGGGGTAGTGCTCAAATAAAAATAGGTGCTTGCTAAACTTTAAGGAATGGACCTGGTTAATTCTCTTTGTTTTTCTAAATTGTGTATTCAAGTCTGAGGATAAAATCCTAGGGATTGGGATTCCAGAGAGGATGAGTGTGATTATCATTAATTCTCCTTCTCCTCCCTCTCCTCCACCACAGAAATGCTGAAGAAATACCTAATAAATACTGGTTTGAAGAGGTACTGGCTCTGGAGAAAAGCTGTACTTTTATATTCACTAAATGAAAGCTAGAACCCCAATCATGACTAGCATTTACTTGTAGTAAATATAATTTTGGACTTTGGGGATAAAGTATTTGGGAATTCTTTAGTGAAAACTTAAGAACAGAGAAAGTCATTAACCCTTGACAAGAATAAATCTAATACAGAGTTAAATGTACTGTCTCTGAAAGTAAAAAATTTAATTGAATTAAAGTTCTCTTTATTGAAGTTAAATGCTTACCTTTTCTTCCACATTAACTAATTTAAAGATTATCTAATACATAGTTAAAATAGCTTACAAAAAATGGAAATTTACATAATTACATAATTATACGTTGTCCTTTGAAGTGTATGAAAAAATTTGTCAGCTTCTGAGAACATTTTGATCCTAACAGATAAATAAAACTTCGTTATATAAAAGTTTG